ATTCCCTGGGTTTGTAGCACACGAGTTCCATTAACAAGACCTACTCATGAACGTATCCCTCCGTCACCAGGAAGGAACTTTCTGTGGAACAAGTCTGATTTGTCTGAAGCTGCATTTGGGCCTCAGATGAACTTGGGAATGAGTTTTCACACAGGACAAGAGTTGTGTATTTTGTCCCTCATTTCTTACAGCGTAGTGATATTCTGAGTGGAAAACTTCAGGGTTAGCGTGGCGAATGAAGTGATGGAGACATCTTCTCACGTACATATGGGCACGTGCGTGTAATAAGCAAGCTTGAAAAATCCACAACCTGTCCTTTAATGTCAGTGAGTTTCATCTCTGACAACCTGTGCTGTGATAAATCACAGTGTACTCCAGTGCAGCACACATCCAGCAAAGACCATGTCCCACAGGATCCATACCAAAAACCCAGCTGGTTCTGCGTGTGCATAAAATGGGGTCAGAGTCGGGGCCAGATGATTTGCTGAGGAGACGCGACTCTGCCATCAGCTGCTTCTTTGGTATGTGTAGATCAGACAAGGTTTCCAGTACAGAGCTGGTGTGCACAGCTTCAGTCCAGCCAGGTGCAGCTCTGATGTGGTCTACAGCACCCCCTGCTGGACCCTCCTGAACAGCTCCCGTCTCTGGGCGGCCGTCATGGTGTCACAGCTCTGCAGCAGGTTTGCGATGATCAGGGTCTGCTGGACGCTGCAGGAGTGGACCCACACCCGCCCGTTCATCCCCACCACCAGCTCACAGGGGAACAGCTGCTTCAGGTCGGACTCGATCTTGCTGTGGGGGGCCAGCAGCCTGGGGGGGGGTGTGGTTTAACATTTCAGTTACTAATTCACATTAATTAATAATGCTGTGAAGTTAAATGATTTCAGGCTCCATTAAACTTTAACAATGTGTTAGAAATGTACACGGTGGCACTAAACACATTTGTATGAAACACTTTTCTAATAGAAACAACTTGTACACAAGGAAATGTGAGTTTTGTAAAGATAAAGGCAAAACTTTATTTGATATGAAATACGCCGAATGCGTCGATACTAAAACAGAGTTCATACAGATTGCTATGTGTGCTGCAGTCATGTGTCTGACCCGCTGTTTCACTTTCTCCCATTAACTATGTTTTAGTTTTACATTTTGAAAAGCAGGTTAACCTGGTGGTGTAAGTCATCTTTTTTTCTTTTGTTTAACGATTTTGAGAAGGCAATTGATGCCTTTGTCAGCTCCAAGCTAGATTGTAATGCACTTTATGTTGGAGTTAGTCAATCATCTCTTTCACGTCTCCAACTCATGCAAAACGCTGCTGCTGCTACTGACCAACACTCAGATACACCGGCTACCGGTATGTTTTAGAATTGATTTGAAATGACTGGTGTTTGTTGTTAAAGCACCAAATGGCTTAGCCCTGCCTTATCTTAGGGAGCCTTTACATACAAACCTGAAAGAACACTTGGGTCAAGGCCCGGGGACCAAGCATTTGCAGTAGCAGGGCCCAAACTGTGGTAAACTGAAATGTTCATATCAGATCGTTCACAGGCTTGGCAGTTTTTAGGGCGCTGTTAAAAGTCTTAACTACGCACACTGGTTTTTGGATCATAGTCGGGCTCTGATACTTTCCATTTGCTTTGGTTGGTTTTGTGAAGTACTCTGGTCAACACGCTGTTGTTTTTAAAGTCCTATATAAATAAACTTTATTCTCTTTCTCTTTGTAAAGCACTTTGAACGGCCTCTGTCTGAAATGTGTGTTAAAAAATAAAGCTGGCTTTTTTTTGTAGAATCACCGTACATTCACTGATTTCATTTACAACTTTTTAATCCCTATTATTTAATCACTTTAGTTTTAGTTTCTCTTCATGTCTGAATTGAACTCAGTAACTACTGAACACCTGAGTTTTTCCTGTTTACATGTTTTTTTATATTTAACAAGAATAAAATGTTTTATGTTTTTTAGCATTCTCTAAAAAAGAGAGGAGGCAGGACCAGAACATACTCTGTGCTCCAAACGGGTAACAGTTAGGTGAGTTACCTTCTGACAAGGCCTAGAGAGACCCTGAAGAGCAACCCTCCTCCTGCCAACACTCCCATCCCATTGGCTCGTCCTGAACCATCGATACACACCAGCTCCGGCTCCATGTCCTTATTGGCTATGAGGAACTGAGCAAAGACCAGGTCGCCCACCTGCACAGGAGACACACAGGGAGGGAGGTGTCAGACAGCACACAAACACCTGGTTGTGATATTCACCTTCTATAAAATAATCATGATGGGTGATGTTAATATTCATGTAGATGCTGACAGTGACAGCCTCAACAATGCATTCAGTTCATTATTAGACTCAACTGAATTTTCTCAAACTAAATAAACCCACTCACTGTTTTAATCACACTCTGGATCTTGTTCTGACATATGGCATCGAAACTGAACACTGAACGTTTTACCCCCAAACCCTCTTCTGACCATTTTCTAATCTTCTTTCGACTGTTCCCGTTAGGGGTCACCACAGCGAATCATCTGTTTCCACCTAACTCTATCCTCAGCATCCTCTACTCCCACCCCAACTAACTTCATGTCCTCTTTTAGCACATCCATATATCTCCTCTTTGGCCTTCCTCTTGACCTCTTGCCTGGCAGCTCCATCTCCAACATCCTTCTACCAATATAACCACTATCCCTCCTCTGCACATGTCCAAACCATCTCAATCTGGCCTCTCTGACCTTGTCCCCAAAACAGCCAACCTGAGCTGTCCCTCTGATGTGCTCGTTCCTAATCCGGTCCATCCTGGTCACTCCTAAAGGGAACCTCAACATCCTCATCTCTGCTACCTCCACCTCTGCCTTTTGTCTTTTCCTCACTGCTACAGTCTCTAACCCATACAGCATAGCTGGTCTCACTACTGTCTTGTACACCTTTCCTTTGATCCTTG